GATCAGACTAAAATGTTTCCCTGAAAATTTTAGTATTACCTAGCAACTTAATTTAAACTCTACCTACTAACAGGAAACTAAAGGTTGGAAAGTAAAGGATAACAGCTGGGCACAGGGGCCTGTGCATGTTGTCCCACCTACTTGAGAGGCTGAGATGGGAGGTTCCCTGGAACCTAGGAGTTTGAGGCCAGCCTGGGCAATATAGCAAGACCCTGTCTCTGAAGAAAAAGTAGAAGATAACATTAGGGTGACTCCAAACATGGTTCTAATTTTCAAAAAACTATTTTCTTTATTTGAAAATCTGGCTACAAATCTGTAATTTTCAACAAATTAGTCTTGTTTGGATTGGTCATAAGCTCATAAGATTTATAATTCCTTCCCTGTTTATGTTGGCTGGCACAAGGATGAGCAGACCTCAGCAGAAGAGAGAGTCAGCTGGTCAGTAGATGATCTCTGAGGCATGTTCCTCCTTTCACATTCTGTGCTGAGGAGTGAGAGTGTGGGCAGTGGCTGGTGCTCTGTGTTAAACATGATCATGGGATTCAGAATACTACAAAGGCACACAGGGATTTAGTTGTTTACTGCCACTGATAACTTATTTTTCTTTCAAGTTAAGTGCACAGTTTCACTCTGTTTTCACTAAAAACATCAGATTTAAATTACTATTCTGCTTTTGTTAAAAAGTGAAGTTCTTTTGTGGGGACTTACAAAGTGTGGTATCTTGAGACCTTCAAGTTCTAAGTGTAGATAGAACATCAAAGTCTGAAAAAAAAAAAAAAAGAATATCAAAGTCTGGCTACAGATCAGTAACACCAACAATAGGCATACAAGCTGTATTCCAAATTTTTACCAACATCACAAATTTGTTTTCTCTCTTTTTTAATTTCAAGTTAATATGAAGGGACAAAGTTTTAGGTTACAATGTTCTCACTTCCAAGGTACAGTTCAAGTTGTAGAAGAGCCCTTTGCCCAAGGGCGTGCTGGATACCCTTGTGCACGTGACATGTGAGATCCCACCAAATGGGATCCTTGGAGTGAGTGAGCTAAGTATTAGATCTTTGATAACTTGATACCTAGAAAGTATTTGAAAAGATAATAGTAGGTCTTGTGTAAAAGTTAAAAAGAGTTTAGGATTGAGTGGGAATGGGAAGAATTGAAAGAGTCAGCTTCTAGGTAAGCAATTTAGAAGTCAATCATTTGTTCGGATAAATTTGTATCAGTGGGGAGGTTTTATGATAATCATTGTGAAAGGAAACTGATTCTATGCTAAGTTGCTATTTATAAATGTGAATATCATTTATACTGTTATCAAGAGAAAGTCTACAAAAGAGATTTTAAAGGCATATGAAAGAAACATGATTTATAGTGACAAGACATACAATAGTATTTTTTATTTGACCACTATCAGAACACTATTATTGTAACTGTTTTTGGTTTGGTTACCATAATGTAAGAAAAATTTATCTTCAGTGAGTGTATACAAGAGTAAGGGTGTGCAAGAGGACTTCATGGAGGATGGAATGTTGCAGAGTGAGTGTTCAAGAGAAAAGGAAGAATTAGAGAGAAGTAACAAGGACAAAGGCATCGCAGGCCAAGCAAAGAATGTGGAGTGAAGAGAGGAGCTCAGATATTTGATTATGTATGTGAGGGAACAGCAAATAGCATTTGGGAACATGCCCAGTGAAGAGGAAGTAGTTGAGTTTAGAGTGAGAGGCATAGGGATGAGTGGAGAAAGAGTTAGTGAATATTTTGGGAGTAGCTTTGATCCTTGACTTAATTTGGGAGATAGACTCTAATTATATCTTTAGATGCTCTGAAGACATGAATTTTGTAATTTTCCAAATTCACAAACATTTATCTTGTTGGTGAAAGTGAAACTGACACGCACTCACTGCAAAAATTTAAGGTAGTTAAGTGCACAAAGCGAAAAGCAAAAGTTCTTGTTTCCTTTGCTACTTGCTCAACCCTACCCCTTAGGGATAATTATGGCTAACAAGTTTTTGTGTACCAACTGCAGCATTTTCTATCCACTTGCTATTTCATTTGTTTAATTTTATTTTAAAACTCAGATGTTAAATATAATGCAGAAAACTGCCAATCTTTCTCCAACTATTTGTCTTTTTTAAAAATTATATGTTGCATATACAATCATTACATATAATTTTATGTAATATTTCGTACAGAATGATTGCATTCTCTGAATCTCAAGTGATTGCCCCACATCAGCCTTCTAAAGTGGTGAGATTTCAGGTGTGACGACACCCAGCTTCCCCTGTCAATTCTAAGCACATTTAAGTCTATCTCAGTGTTATAAATGCCTGCATATAGTTATGAGAGAACTTATATTAGTCTCCTATTTGAATCTAATAGAAGCTATTTAACCTTTCTACTAGTCTACACATTGAAGTTATTGTGAACCTTTTGCTTTTAATATTTATCAAAATAACAAATAAACTATTTCTTTTTCCACTTTGTTCATATGTACACAGGCACATATTCAGGGATATTTTTTCCCTCTAGAAGTAGAATCGCTGAGTCAAAGTATAAGAGCATGTAAAAATTCAGAAGGTATTTTCAAACTGGCAAATGTTTTATCAGTTTGCTTTCCTACCACCAGTGGTGACTACCTGTTTCTCCATTATCTGCCAGACTTTGA